TGTGCCAAAGTCTGGAAGTGTCTGATGCATCATCCTCTGAGCTGGTGGAGACAGCCACTCTTCCTATGACTGTAGAGCCGTTTAGGAAATATAAATTTCCCTTTCAAATACCCTTCATTGCAACAAATGCTCCTCGAACAACTTTGAGGACTCCACCTCCCACAGTTACTCTGTAACCTTTGGAATCTAAAACTCTCACTGAGATGAGATTCTTCATCAAATCTGGTACGTACCGAACATCTTCGAGAATTCTGATTGTTCCATCATCTATATTCAGTCGAATTGTTCCAATCCCCTTTGTTCTGCAAGCTTGGTCGTTGCCCATCTACACAACTCCTCCATCGAACTCTCGTAAGCTCGAGAACCACTGCTTGTTAGGACACATGTGGTAGGAACATCCAGAATCTAGAATCCATTCATCAAACTGGCCATATGATGAAACTGTGAAGGCTGATCCTTCACCATTATCTCTATCTCGTGCAATGTTCACATTTTCTTCTTTCTTGTCTTTATTAGGACAATCTTTTGCCCAATGCCCCTTCTAGCGACAAGCAGCACACGCGTCTTTTGCAAGACGTCTTCTATCTAATGATTTCCCTCTGGATTTTGAGCGAGACTTTCCTCGCCCTGTATATCTTCTGTTATTCGCCCTGCCTTTGACTATCAATGCCACGGATATTGAGTCCCTGTTTGCAAATTTATCTTTCCTTGTAAGCTCATTATTTACCAAGGCGTTTGCAACATCAACATACTTGATCTTTTCTTTACCATACAGTAAAGTGGTGGTGAGATGATCATATGTGTCAGGCAAAGAATTCAATAGTAATAGTGCTTTATCTTCATCATCAATGTGATCATCCTAGTTTTTCAAATCGGTAAGAATTTTGTTGAAATTGTTTAGGTGTTCGTTCATCGAAATACCTTTCTTATAGTCGAAACGAAACAACCTCTCTTTCAAGTAGAGCCAGTTCTCAATGTTCTTTGTCATGAATTTGTCTTCCAATGCCTTCCGAAGGTCCTTCGCAGTATCATATTCTGTGAAGGTGTACTTCTCCTCTTTTGTAAGGCAGAGTCGGATAGAACTGCAGGCCAGGAGATTCACTTTCTCCCATTCTATCCCGTCCAGGTCATCTGGTTTGTCTCCTAGAGTGAAGTGCAGGTTCATCTGGACAAGCATATCTTTCACTTCGCATCTCCATATGCCGAAGTTGTTGCTTCCATCAAACTTTTCTACTTTGAACTTAGTATGGGACACCGGGATCCAATGCCTAGAGTTGCTTGTAGTCCCTAGGTTACTTGTGGACTAAGTTGATCTCGTCTCCGTAGATTCTGCCATTAAGACTATTCAATAATCTCCACCACAAATAATAACGGACGCTCGAAATGCGCAGAACGCGACAAATTTTAAGCTCCCAAAGAACTTCATGGAAAATTTGGATCTGAATCTCAAAAAACGAAATCCACGGTTGTGTTCGGAATGGTTGATTTAGCTAGGAAAGCACTTTCTCCACCTCTCCAGGGACCTTAATGAAATTTTTCCAAATCCAGGGGCCAAATTACAATTTTCCAAAACTCTAGCGACCTTACTATAATTAATAGAAGTTTTAGGGGCTAAATTGCAATTTTAGCAAGATTAGGGGCAAAAATGTAATTTACCAAACTTTCAGGGGCCTCCCTGTACTTTTAGAAAGTTTGGCTGACTAGGATTGATGATGTGGCAGATGTGCTAACGTGGCGGTGACGTGTCTCGACAAGTGGTTGATTTAGCTAGGTAAGCACTTTCTCTACCTCTCCAAGGACCTGAATGAAATTTCCCCAAATCCAGGGGCCAAATTGTAATTTTTCAAAATTGTGGGGACCTTACTACAATTAATAGAAGTTCGAGGGGCTAAATTACAATTTTAGCAAGATCAGGGGCTGAAAATGCAAATTACCAAACTTTCAGGGGCCTCTCTTTAATTTTAGAAAGTTCGGCTGACTGGGATTGATGATGTAGCAGATGTGCTGATGTGGCGCTGGCGTGGCAGTTAAGCTGGCGGTAACGGGTCTTGACACATGGCAGTGACTTGGCAATGTTGAGTGGGACATTGACGTGGCAGTGTGCTGATATGTCAAGGACGTGGCAGTTGAGCTGGCGACAATTGGGGCTGATGTGCGCGTGACGTGGCAGCTTCTAAAAATAAATTGGAAATTTTTTTGACTTGGGTTTTGAACCCTTGACCTCAATGCATCAAACCAAAGGCTCTAACCACTCTGCCAAGTATGAATTGGTGCTATTTTTGTGCACAAGTAAATACTTAAAGCCTTTAGGACTGGTTGCCTTCTTTAACCTTTGCTTCGCCGGACTGAACTTTTCGGCAAGTCTCCAGCAGAACTTCGGCAAGCGCGTGAGGCGCGTGAAGTGTCCTCGTGGGTTGGTCTTTCTGGGTCTGAACTCCTCTCGTCAAGGCAGTCGTCGTGGTATCACTACAAGAAATATCAGTTTCGCCGACCAAAATATTAGTCGCTAAATGTCACTTTTTTAGTTGCCAAAGCCAATTAGCGACTAAATTTTTTTGTCATCAACTTAGTCGCCTAAACACTATCAGTGAATGTTTTAGCGACTAAACGTGTGTTTGGTCGCTGAAAGTGAAACATTTGGCTACTATTTTATTTAGTCGACAAAACCTACCTTTTAGCTACTAAATTTTAGTTGGTCAGCAAAGGGCCAATGTTTGGCTACTAAATTATTGGTAGCCAATAGTCAATTATATTTTTTTGAAATTATACATTTACCGACCAATGTTTTAGTCGCCAATACTCAAGGAATCGGCGACCAAACCTTTTAGTCACCAAAAGTGATTTCGTGAAAAAAAAAATTACACTCTGCTCTTGTAGAGATTCGAACCATCAACCTCGCACACTATAAACCTTATACAACACCCTCTTTCCACTACGCCTCGATAACACCATATGATTATATATGCAACATATATTATTTATATAGTACATAGACCCGTATTAATATAAAAGTATATATATAAAGACAATTATTTTTTATTGAACATAATTTATGTAAAAATAAATTATTTATTAGAAAAATAAAAGAGACCACTTTTGGCGACTAAACATAATTTTAGTTGCCAATTCTATACTTTTTGCTACTAATAATTTTTTAGTCATTAAAAATAAAATTCCCGCGCTAAAATTACTACTTTTGGCGCCTAAACTTCTTTTTAGTCGCCGAATGCCTCACTTTTGGCTACTAAATTATTTTTAGTCGCCAAAAACCCTCACTTTTGGCTACTAAAAATTTTTTAGTTGGTAAAGGCCTCACTTTTGGCTACTAAATTTTTTTTAGTTGCCAAAGGGCCTAACTTTTGGCTACCAAAATTTTTTTAGTCGGTAAAAGCCTCACTTTTGGCGACCAAACATCAATTTAGTCGCCGAATGCCTCACTTTTGGCTACTAAATTTTTTTAGTCGCCAAAAATCTTTATTTTTGGCTACTAATGCTTTTTTAGTCGCCAAAAGCTATACTTTCAGCGACAAAATTTTTTTAGTCAAAAAATTTAGTCGCCAAATGTGCTTTTCCCTGTAGTGTATGCTGAAAACTCGATTTCGACAACTTCGAAATTTTCAGTTTACAGAAAAAGCACTATGTTTTTCGCACAACAATGCTCTGATACCAATTTGTTGTGCCTAGGAGGCAGAAAACAATCACACACAAGCACACAAGCAAGAACACACAAAGATTTACATGGTCCGACAAGTCACCTACGTCCACGGGCAGCGAATTTCACTATATTTAGAACAAAGAATTACACACTCTATTACTTTCTCTCTCTCTCTCTCTCTGCTCTGTATTCTCTCTTCTACTCACCACACTGAATTCCTCCAATTCACTACCTATTTATAGATGCAATGGGGTAGCACAAGCTCTTCAATCAGCAACCTTTGTTGACAAAGCAAACAAAGCAGCCATTGTTGACAGCAGCCATTGTTGACAGCAAATCTGAGCCAATCTTCAACAGAAATCTCACTTCCGAGCCCATACTCTGCCATTAAAACAATTCACATTCAAAGCCCAAGGATCATTTTCTGCAAAAGCATATTGATACGAAAGAAAATGGAAAAATCAATTATGATAAATATGAATTCCATAATATGAAAGCAATACATTCTATATATTCCAATAAGATATTCTATTAGAAAAAGGGTAAAAAGTAGTTACCAGGAGCTACATATCCGATGGTTCCCCTTACTCCAATTGAGCTACTTTGATTTGGATTGGTGAGCTCTAGGAAAAATCTAGCCAGACCGAAATCTCCAATATGGGCAACCATCTCACGGTCAAGAAGGATATTACTTGGCTTCAAATCAGAGTGAACGATCGGCGTTTGGCATTGGTGCTGAAGATAATCAAGCGCACAAGCCATATCTATGGCGATGTTTATTCTTTGTAGAAGGTTGAGTCTCTACTGCTCATTTTGCCCATCATTTGTTTCTAGACTTGCATGCAACCACCTCTCTAGACTCCCATTTGGCTCGAACTCATAAACTAGAGCTTTGAACTCATTCCCTTGAAAATCAACACTGGAACAAGAAGTTATGATCCTAACCAAGTTTCGGTGTCGAATATTTCTCAAGGTTTCACACTCTGCCATGAAACTCTTTATGGCTCCACGATTTTGAAGGTTAAGTACTTTGATAGCAGCAACAAACTCCTGATCTTGAACGAGAATTCCTTTATATACAGAGCCAAAACTACCAAAACCAATTAGGTTCGTAGAAGAGAAACCATCTGTTGCTTTGAGGAGTTTCTCATAGGAGACTTTCAAGAATGATTCTTTCAACACTAGAACTGTAGATTGAGTTGTTCTTTGCTTCTTGAACAAATAAATTGTAAAGAATGACAAAAGTGTTGCTCCAACAAGTACAAAAGCTGCTGTAATTGCCAATATATGTGAAAGAGGCATCTTATGTTTTGATTTCTTGGTGATGCAACTCGATAGTTATAGCTCAGAAACCCCCACAAAGCCTACGATTTCCAACAATTGACATTGCACTTGCATTTGCAAAAACTCCCTCCATTGGTAACTCGCCCTCAAAATCATTAAAGGATAAATTGAGAATCATTAGGGAAAATTTCTCTAAGAAAGTTGGAATTTTTCCAGACAAGTTGTTATGAGAAAGATCAAAGTTTTGAATACCTCTCAAAGATTCGAATGATAGAGGAATGGATCCTGGAAAAGAATTTTCCTGCATGTAAAGGTTTTCAAGGCTAGTGCAACTACCGAGACTGCTAGGAATTTCACCAGACAACCTATTCTCAGAGATATCCAATTCCATTAAATTTTTAAGGTTTCCAACCTCTGTTGGCAAAGAACCAGACAAACGATTCCAAGCTAGATTTAATGAAATTGACAAAGATGAGACTTTCAAGGGTTCTTTGGGAATGTTTCCGCTCAAGTTGTTTTGGTAAAGGTGCAGTAACAACAACTTTTTACAGTTAGCAAGCCCTGAGGGTATGGTCCCCTCTAGTCTGTTGTCCCCCAAGTAAAGTTCAATCAACAATGATAGGTTTCTGATGGGATATGGAATTTTCCCTGAGAGGTGGTTCATCTCCAAAGAAACCAATTGCATCTTTGGAAGATTTCCTATGTTAGTTGGAATTGTACCTGTGAATTGGTTATCTGCCATACTTAACACATCCAAGTTGACAAGGTTACCTATTGTTGAAGGAATAGTTCCATATATTTGATTTCTACAAAGTGAAAAGAAAATCAGATTCTTTGACAGGTTGCCAACAGATTCTGGTAACCCCTCTAAATTGGTTAAACCCCATAGCCAATACTTCCAAATTGCTATAGTTGGCAAAAGAACCAATAAAGGCTAGGTCATCTGGTTCCCCACTTCTGAAATTGTTATGAAATAGACCTATTTTCTTGAGATTCTGTAGTCTTCCAAAATTAATTGTTATTTTCCCATTGAAGTTGTTTTGTTCTACTTGAAATTTTTCCATTTTTGAAAATTTTGATATTGACAATGGAAGGGTTTCAGTAAATTGGTTAGCATTTAATTGGAGGAGTTGAAGATCACAGAACATGAAACCAAAGCTTGGCGGAAGACTACCATGAAGTTGGTTAATACCCACAAAAAAAACATTTATGAATGAAGGATTATAAATAGATGGAGGGATCATACCGGAGAGTTGATTGCCACCCAATCCAAGTTGTGTTAGTTTTTTCAATTGACCCAAGGTATTTGTAATACTTCCTCCAAAAGAATTTCTAGAGCAGAAAAGCTTTTCGGAAAAGTAAGATTCCCAATGAATGGAGAAATGCCTCCCGTCAAATTGTTCTTGTAAAAGGCAAGGTTTGTGAGCTTTGGCATGGAAGTAAGCTCTTTGGGGCATTTCCCCACTAGTTTATTTGTACCAACACCAAGGTATGTGAGGTTGGAGCAGCGGGATAAGCTAGCTGGAATTTCTCCTTCAAAGTTGTTGTTGCTCAGGTTCAAAATTTGCAACCTGAACAGGTTGCCGAGTTCAACAGGGATTTCACCCTGAAAAGTGTTGTTAGAGAGCCACAACCCCTGAAGGAAGGTGAGGTTCCCTACATAAGGAAACAAGGAACCAACTAGACCTTGGGACGTCAAGTTTGTAATGGTGACTCTCCTGTGCCGGTGACTGCATATGACACCTTGTCACTCGCAGAAATGGAGAGAATTGTTCCATGAGCTCACAACCACATGAGGGTCTTGCAAAATCTTTGACTTGTAGTCGCTGCCGGGAGTGTTCCAACATGTACAAGTGTCATGGCTACGACACATATGCCACTCCATACATAAAATAACTGGAGTAGCTGAAAACCCATTACTAAAAGTGGAGATGCCATTTTCCGATCTCTTTCTTTTTATTTTTTATTTTTGGCATGCAGTTGCAAAGTTAGGCTTGGTTGTGATTATTTATAACCTGCAATTTCTTTTTCTCCACAGGTAAGCATTGTCTGTGTAGGGTGGAATATGTGGGACTGAATATGGGAAATTCCTAATCACTGGGGACTGCATGCTTGTAGTTGATTTGGTTTTGCAATTTTAATTACATCATACTTGAAATTCTTATATTTGCATCAATTTAATCTAATTGGTAATGCTCCTATTTAAAAATTGAACAGAAATCGATAAACAAAATAGAGTGAGCGGGTTGATGTAAATGGTTCATTACCTTTGAATGAACCATTTTGCTTTTCATTTTTGTTCAATTTCTTAGTATAACTTATTAATTGGGTTAAATTGATGCAATGTGAAAAATTAAAGGAAAAAATAAATACAATTCAAAATATAAAGATTCAATTGACACGAGATAAATTACACTAAAAAAAAAAAAAGAAGGGAAAAGTCACATTACACTCATGAGGGGTACACGATGATTCTCATTCCTTATGAGTCATTGTGTAAGGGAAAAGTCACATTACACCCATGAGGAGTACACAATGATTCTCATTCCTTATGAATGCATTGTAATTTTAAATTGCGTTTCGATCATATATCTAGATAGAAATTTAAAAGAAAAAAAAATGGGGAATCTTTTAAGGTTCCTGATATTAAAATTTTATAAGAAAAATGACGTATAATATTTTTCATAGTAGTTAAGATCCCCTAACATTTCTACAGATAAAATTCGACTCGGAAAATTTTTTTCCGAGTCAAAGAAATTTCTCTGAGTAGGGGCCAAAATTTCTTTGAGTTGGCCAAAATTTCTCTGAGTCAAATTTTCTCTGTGAAAATGTTGAAGGACCTAACTAATAAAAAAAAATATATTGGACCTCTCTTACTACACAAAGTTAGAGAAATATTTCACTAATTTTCTCCAAAAAAATTATAATTCACTCATATTGTTCGCATTTTTTTCTTTCCTTTTTTCTTTTCTTTTAAAATTCCTACACAATTCTATGATATAAACACAATCTTAATCTAGAATTGAAGCTAGCTTCCAGGGTGTCCCGACCCCAAACCGCCCCTAGTAGTTTGGTGTCGTGATGGCCAGTAATCCGAGATTACCGAAGGCCAACTTTCAAAATTCACACACACTCAGAGTATAAATATATAGGGCTCACAAGTACGGAAGCAAAATTTAAAATACAGGTGGTCCAGAAGAGCTGTGCGTACATCAATGGAATGTCAAACATCTTTACAAGGTCTTACAACTTGGATACAATAAAGAAATGAAATACAAAATACATCTTGACCAAAAGGCTTCTCAAGCCGACATATACCAAAACAACATAAACATAAGCTAAGAAGCATGATCTTCAAGATGCTACAAAATATGAATCCAAGGAACATCAGCAATACATCCAAAAACACATCGGCAACACATCTAGGCCTCATCGCCTTCTTGCTCATCACCTACATATATACAGAGAGGGTGAGCTTGGATACTCAGTGAATGGCACAAGTAATAAAGGGTTTGCATGTATGACATCCGAGCTCTTTAACAAAACAATACATCATTATAGCTTATAACAAAACGTGGGATAAATCAAATTCATCTAACGAATCTATCGAGCCTCATCAATCAAGTTTTTCAAGGCTTCCAAATTCAAGGGATGACATTAACAAGGGTTGTGCTACAAATGCTTATAGTCCCCTAGCACGTACGGACTTTCAAGATCGTGCTACTAATGCTTATAGTCCCCTAGCACGTACGGACTTTCAAGATCGTGCTACTAATGCTTATAGTCCTCTAGCACGTACGGACTTTCAAGATTGTGCTACTAATGCTTATAGTCCCCTAGCACGTACGGACTTTCAAGATTGTGCTACTAATGCTTACAGTCCCCTAGCACGTACGGACTTTCAAGATTGTCAAACCAAGGCTAGTACTTGATACACAAAGTAGGGATAGTCATTCATGCTTAACAAATACTTTTCCAAAACAAGCAAGGCAGGGTTTTATCAAAACTTAAGAATATAACTTTATTAAAAATACCACTCACCTAGTTCTGCAAATGTCGGGGTTACAGGCAAAGGTCCAAGGCCTACAAGTACATAGAAATCCCATTGAATGCACTAATAAACAAGCTTTACATGTATGCAAATGATCTCGACATTTCATCAAAACTAAGTCGAACCAAGACAAAACACTGTTTCTCCTTTTGGGAAAACATGCTGGGTACCAACCAGGCTATTGCCGAGGTCCCACACCTCCTTGCCGAGGCGTGGTCCCGGCGGCCACACTCAAGGAAATGAAGCCGGGAAAATCTAGGTTTCCCTCTACTGAAGAACATGGAGAACATGAAACACATGAATTGTCAATCTTAACTTATCACTACAAAATCTAGAACTTCATGCTATGAATTTCAAAACATGGACCTGAGTACCCAGACTCGAAGATCTTATGAAACAAACACAAAAGCATGAATCTTGATGCAAACTTTCGGATGAAACAAGGCTTTTATTCAAGAACACATGAATACTACTTATTCTTTCTAAAACCAAACTTTCAATCAATGCATGGCTAGCAAATCAGGTTCGATCATGCAATGCAGTTAGATGAACATAAAGAATCACAAGAGAAGATCAAGAATCTAACCTCAAGACATGAATCTAACGGTTTGATCCCTAGGAATCAAGCTCAAAGATCTACTTTCTCACTCTACAACTTCTTCTTCTTTTTTCTAGAGCTTCTCTCTCTAAAAGGCAAAGATATGATACAAAATGATAGGTTCTCTTGGCTGGTTCCAAACTTAACCCTCTGCTGGGACACATGGCAGCGACTGGTTGGGTTTTCTCAAAAAGGTGGCTGACAGACCAGACAAAAGCATGGCGAAAGAGTGTTCAACAAGTAAAACGGTATGGGCACTCTGGCAAGATGGTAACATCGGGTGAAATCATCGGCTACGGTAGGTAAGGTATCTATGACCTCATCTAGGATGGGCAACACTTGGCCTAGCTGTGCCACACCTCGGTCTAGGTCGCACCAATCCAGGAACAAGATCACTTGGGTTCAAGGATAACATCTCGGCCTAGATGATGCACTTCTCGGCCTTGATGATACACCTCGGCCTAGAAAATGACATCTCGGCCAATATGCCAGGACGGAAGCAAAGGTAAACCTAAGTGGTTTCAAGATGGTTTTAGCTTTAAAGTGACCTCGACTAGACTCACCAAGAGGAACAAGACTTAACAAGTAATTCACATAAGCATAAACCAAGACAAGAATCTTACTCTAGATAAAACAAGTCGAGAAAATTCACTAATGCAAGCTTATCAAAACAAGATTATACAAATGCTCATGCTTGAGGCTAAGGTGGGGAATGAGGGTCTCTACACAGGGCCTAGGCTATATGTGATGATATTTGCGATTGAGAAGAGAACGCATGTCCAACAGTTTATTAAAAATGCCATGGGGCATTTCTATCAAGTTGCCAAGATACAACATGGGGCATTTGTTGCGTACCTCTAATTGTCTTCGTGGCAAAAATTGATTTTTGATTGATTAGGTATCCATGTACAGTAAAATGGAGCGTCTTTCAAGTTTAAACAACATATTGAACAACATGCAAACTCAATATTTAAGAATCCTTAATTTGGAAACTAAATATTTATTAGTTTTTTGTATTCTAATTGTGGACATTTTTCATTGTGTAAATTACATTGGCCATCCTCATATTTTGACTTTTATATCATTTTAATTTCTCTAATTTTAATTGGTTCGCGTTTGATTATGAATTTATGATTTTATCTCAATTTGGTCTGATTGATTACAATATTAATATTTTCGATGTAAAATACGCATATAAGCAGCCACGAATTATGCTTTCATAGGCAAAATTCTAAACTTGTCTATTGAGTTCAACTCATTGAATTAATCTCAACTAATTTAGCGACATTTTTTAAATTATTTATTTATTTATTGCAAAAATCCTAATGAGCATCATCAATTCGATAAAATCGACACAATATAAAATTAATGATCAAAATTGAATTAATTAAAATTATAAAAACTAAATTAACAGAAGAAGAAAAATATAGGGACTATAAATATAATTTAGGGGCATTTACATACAAGTCCCATTTTGTGAACTTATACTCCATTAACTCCTAAATAAAATTATTTGCTCCTTCAAGTCCCATTAATTTTTAATAGCCCAATTTATCCTTTTTTCTCCCGGCTCTGTCTCGCGGCCTCCGAAATGATCGAAACGATTTGCGGAAGACGATCGGCTCGGCCGACGAAAATGTGCGGCAGAGTTTGGAGGATTGATTTGTAGCAACTGGTTGATCAAGCTATCTCGAACTCGGATCTGAAATCTATGTCTATCAACACTCTCTCTCCTTCCACAATCACATCTATTTACTCATATTCACCTGAATAAATAAATTATACACAAAAGAGGTGAAAACACTCACGGCGGCTACGGATTTGTTGTTAGGATGCTTCTCTTTGAATGTATGTCATAGGGCAAAGTTCATTCTGTATGCACAGAGGCTTTACTATGATATGAGATGTTGTAGAACAGGATCCATTTTAATTTCAAATCATGTTTTTTTCTTTTATATTTTGCGTGGCTCCAGTGTACTGGAGTGAAGAAAAGAAGTATCATTTCAAAATTAGGAGCATACGGATCTTTTAAAAGTTGGAAGAGCAAACGATTTGTTTCTTTCTGAAGTCCAAATCTATTTATCCGGATTATTTGTTAATTTTGATCGAAACGAAATCTATTGGATATACATATATATTTACACATAAGAGAGAGAGAAAGAGAGAGAGAGAGAGAGAGAGGACTTACCGGCTGGATATGACGAACATTTAGCGTGATGGTTATCGATCTCGAGCGATGGAGAGACAGAGACCACACGACCAAGATCGTTGAATGGATGGAATTACAGAAAAGAATGCGGATCTACGAGTTGGGTTCCTTGCCGCCTTTTTTGCTGGTTTTTGGCTGGAACATTGCTCCTGTGGATCATAGATGGAACCAACATAGATGCCACTGCC